CTGCTGATTTTGATTAAATAAGATAATTACATCGTTTAGGGAGTTCTTAACTTCTCGATCTCGTTCTGTTCTGGATGAGTTATCAATGATGAAAGCTGATTTGGTGCAGCCGCGTTATGTCTAAGAGCATCTTTAATAAGGAAATATGTGTCTGTCAACGTTCGACCAGAGTCTTTATTACTCTATTTGAAAGGTCTTTAGAGCACACAAAGAAAAAAGTGCGAGTCAATTCAATTTATTTGTACAGCACCAAATCACAACATGCATTATCTCAAGGTACTTCACAGAAGAAGGTCGAGACCTGACAACATCCCACACTGAGGAAGTGAAACAGGGAGAAAGCGTCCAACAGGACCGGACTCGGGCGGCCATGTGCCTCAATTGGTTTGGTTTAGAGGAGAGAAAATGGCGAGGCAGGAGAAACCTAATCCCCTTTAATGAGAACATCAAACATTTCCCTCTGCAGGCCGTTCCTGGTGCTGCCTCCGCTGATGGAGTGGATCCGGGTGGCGGTCGCCCACACGGAGCACCGGCGAAGCTTCTCCGTGGACAGCGACGACGTGAGGCAGGCCGCCAGGCTGCTGCTCCCCGGCGTGGACTGTGAACCACGACAGATAAAGTAAGAACAACCTCACTGCCTCAGTTAAACCTCGACACCAAACTCCCGTGTTTTTTGCGATTTGTTCTTTTGTATTCAGTGTTCTGTTTTCCTGGTCTTGTCCTGTGAAGGGCTGACATGAAGAATGAAACTCAGATATCATGAATATGTTCCTCCAAGTTTCCATGGAAACCTGTGACAGTGCAGCGTGGATTACGAGACATGAACCATACATACATCACTGTGTGATAATGAGTCACAGTAAATGAGGCTTACCTGCAGAAAAAGCTACTTTAGGAAATGAGGAAACCAGACGAACGTCATGTTGACAGATGTAAACACGAGCTAATTGACTCTGTATGCAAACAGCTCAGTGTTTGAAATGAACGTGTGAGGTCGTATTTTATGATACCAGGCGTTTGTGTTCCATCTGCAGAGCGGAGGATTGTTTCTGTGCCACCAGGAAGTTGGACGCAGCCTCCACCGAGGCCAAGTTCCTGCAGGACCTGGGCTTCAGGATGCTCAACTGCGGGCGGACGGACCTGGTCAAGCAGGCGGTGAACCTGCTGGGGCCTGATGGCATAAACAGCATGAGCGAACAGGTCTGGCACTAACACACACGCGCTAGAACACACACTCCTACACATATACACTGCATTAACACACCTACGCAGGCAGGTGGAGAGGAATACACAATGAATTGTACATTTCTAACAAGTTACCTGGCAACTCATCCCAGTTCTCACACGCTGCGCACAGACGGCTCCCTATGAGTCATGCAAAGGGATAAATTAATATGCTGTGATGCAGATTGTTAAAATACACATGATTTACACTGGAGACAGAATGTTTCTCATTACCTCTGACCCTGGCTCATATTCAAGCAGCAGGAAATATACTATATAAAATTAATATACAAGTGGATTTGTAAATGGTTAAAACACAGATTGTTGAATTAATCTATTTTAAAAAATATAAAATGAAATGTTAAACACACTAGAGTTTGATCGCAATTCAGAGATTGATCGTTCCTTTGCACAATAGCTTTACTGAGATAATAGAGGAATATGATCTACTGCTCCTGAACTGAGCTCTGATTGGTTTTCTTTGACCATCGGGTCGATATCCTGGCATCACTGCCTCTAAGTCTTAAAGTCATTTGGGATTTTCTGATTTCCCCGCTCATATTGGTTATTCCCTGCTCTGCTAAGTGGAGGCTAATGGTGCTATCTGATTTGTCCGTGGTCAGAAAGACGAGCCTGGTTAAGTTCAATTGAGAAACTATTTGCAGGTTTCTACTGAAATATTCTGAAACCTCGAGGTAAGAGGAATGTGTTGATTCAAACCAGATTCAGTCAGATCACTTTACTGGAACGGCCCTGATTTAGTTCTCAGTCTTGACATGTCCTCATCAGTATAACAGATTTTATCGACTGACATTTTCCTCCTCCTCACTCCGCGTCTAGAAGCAGCCGCGGTGACATACCGGCTTTTATGTCCTTGTAAAAAAGCTAAACTGCAACAAGGGACCAGACGGGAGCGATAAAGTCAAATCTGCTGTTTGTCACCATCACTGAGCGCCGTGATCGTCCTCAGGGTCCATCGCCCCCTTCAGCTGATTAAATAGATCGGTGTCCAGGAAATATTTAAGAATGAAGCACCACAAAGGGATGCTGGTCTTCACCGTTATGTGCGGCGGCGGCGGCGGGCTGGCAGCCCGTCGTTAAAGGCCTTTGTTGAGTGTAACAGCTCAGATCAGACATATGATTGAAGTCAGTTTTATGGAGGCTCACCTGAAACACTCTGAAACGTGTAGGGTCGTGTGATTAATGTGCAGAATGTGCCGCAGAGTTCTTTAGTTTTCTTTTTGTCTTCACAATAACACTTGAGCGAGGCCCTCGCCTCGCAGCTCGGAGTGTTCTGTGTGTGGGCGTGTCAGGCTCAGGAGAGTGCTCCGCGCATATGGCGGCACGCAGAGATGTAAGACGTTAAATTAGGAGCTCCACAGCCCACTTATGCTGTCGCTCTCGTCCCAAAGATGCGGTTACTCTGAGGCAGTTGTGATTATGTGTGGAAAATCAACAGCTGGAAATGTCTCATGTCCACTTTGCATATATATGTGGATTTCAGTGCAGTCTTTAGACACGGAGCAGCGCTGAACTTCTGAGCATCTGTAGAATAAAACTGTGATTTAAATTAACATTGTGCAAAGAGAGAATAAATGATTTTGTTCTGGTTTCGTGTAAAAGTAATGAGCACAGCTGTCGGTGAGCTGCTTGTAGAAAGAGCTTTGCTGATGATGGCCCTGAACTCCACGAGCGCATTTGTAAGTGCAGTTAACACAAACGTGCATTAGAAATTTAATGTCAAGGTTTTTTTTTTTTATGGGTTTGATAATGAATCTGACCTACAAACAGCAGGAGAATACATTTATTCAGATGTTGCATTGGAAAATTCTTAATAAAACACAGAACACAGAGTAATTGAAGTAGTTCAGTAATGAACACGCAGAGAAAACGTCACCAGACTCTTTCAGACTTATTTTATATTTTGTTAATTCATATTTTTATGTACCTGCTCGTCTTCCGAGGTGAAGAATATTTATTTTGATTGAATTTAAATATTTGAAATGTACAATCAACCATGGCCCTCAGTAGTGTGCATACCTCCGCCAATGAAACCACATTAGAATTCACTCAATCTGCACACACACACACGTCAAAAAGGTTTTTCACTTTTCAGAAAACAATACTTTAAAGTGGTTAATTCAATATGAAGTTAATACCTGACAGACAGCAGCAGCTCTCCAAAACCACTCTCTACCTTTTCTTCTCCTTCCTGAACTCTGTCGACAAGTTTCTTCCAACTCAAACAATGTAACCCTCTCCTCCTCCTCCTCCTCCTCCTCCTCCTCCTCCTCCTCCTCCTCCTCCTCCCTCCTGCAGGGGATGACCCCTCTCATGTACGCCTGCGTCCGTGGCGACGAGGCCATGGTCCAGATGTTGCTCGACGCCGGCGCCGACATCAACAGCGAGGTCAGTGTTTCTCCGTCAGTCTGCAACAAAGTCACATCGGCTGCACATTTTTGTATTTGTTCCATTATGTTCATTTACACGTGTTTACCTCTGAAAACCATGAACTGGCTGTTTGTTGCTTCCTCTCCCTTCTGCTCTGTTTTCATTTCCTCACCTGTTCTCCGCATGCTCCCTGTTCTCCTGGCAGCTCATTACATGAAGTGCACTGATAAGCAATAAACCGGGATCATTTGCACGGTAACAATGGTGGTTTGTGTCTGTGCTGATGCTGAAATATTATCGCAGTGATAGTCCCTCAAGTGCAGCCATGTTACTTCATTACGTTTTACGCTGTCCGGCAGCAGTTTGCCTGAGACCACATCAATAATGCATTAGTGTTGTACGAGTGTGTGCACTTGGTGTAACGTTCTTCCAGAGGCTCTACTTCATTTGCACAAATTCCTTTTATTGTGTTGGAGTGTGAAACAGTGAAGTGATGTTTTAATAAACCCTGCTTCTGTCTGTGCTGTGACCTGTGTGTGTGTGTGTGTGTGCGTATGTGTGTGTGTGTGTGTGCATGTGCGTGTGCGTGTCTCTGCTTCAGCGTTAGTCGTCAATATAAATATACAAGAGCAGCTCGTTGGACTCTCCTCCTCCACGCCGACCTCACCGTCGACTGTGTTTGGTGCTTGTGTGTTGACTCAAAAAACAAAGTGCACTGAGTTTATTAACTTACAAATCGACAAAGAGATGATAATCCAAATTCTGTCACGTCTCATCCCGTTTCCACACAAGTTTAGATTTTAAGACTCGACGTTATGAAATCATATTTTCTGTATCACAACACAGGCTGTTAATAAAGATGGACGACGCATCTCCACTTTTTTCCGTCGTCCAAACATGAAGCTGCCGACTGCCTCTCTGACCCGATCCCGAAACATTTATGTGACGTGCACTTTTTATTTCGACCCACATCCCATCCGATAACATGGAGGAGGCTGGGTTTATGGTTTGTGTTGCGGCCCGCCACCAGGGGCACTCCAGATGTTATGGCTTCACTTTTAGGGGAGCTGTTGAAAGTGAAGCCTAAAACCTGTGTTCTCTGAAATGATTCGAAAATCCCTCGTCATCTGCAAACACACAGACACTGATGTTTAGCACCAGAGCGGAAATGAAAAGTGACATTATATCAAACGTGTGTTTGAAGCAGGCCTCTTCCGGGTAACGTGATGAAGCCGGTTCAGGAATCACAGAACAACATCAGCCTGTACGTCTGTTGAATTTCACTCTGCCGCCGCTTTGTTCATGAGTCAGCACTGCGGCTCCTCTTTGCCAGAGTGTCTAGTCATTTGCCGGTTGTTGTATTTTTTCATTTCCATTTGAAATGAAATGCTGGTTAGAGACTCAGTCAGTCAGACAGTCAGAGATCGAGCAGACGCAACTGACTCACAACATCTTCCCTGAAACTCAAGAGGAAAATCTCCCTCTGCCATCCTCCCCTTCCTCTGCTCACACTTCTCTTCCTGCACATACTGCTTCCTCCTCCTCTTCCTCCCTGAGCTGTGAATGTTAACGGCTGTACATATATATATAAATATATATCTCTCTCCCTGAACTTCACCTATATGACTTCCCAGGTGCCCACCACAGTAAACAAGCACCCCTCAGTTTATCCCGAAACGCGCCAGGGGACGCCACTCACTTTCGCTGTGTTGCACGGACACGTCCCTGTCGTGCAGGTAGCTACGTTTATGACCTGTAACCTTTAACCTGTGGCCCTTTAGAGGACTTTAATAATGATGATGATGATTATGGTGCTTCACAGTAATGATGATAATAATAATAATGATGAAGCCACGTGTCTTTTTTGATCCTGTTTGTACAGTAATTGTTTCTTTACGGAGACGACTCGCTCTCCAGAATGAGTTTTTAATTCTGTACGTTTTGAAGATGTGTAGATGAGTCACCCTGAGTTTTCACCATCACTGAATCTGAAGCTTGCTCCTGCAGCAGCAGGGAGAAACGTCCAGAGGCGAACTGAACTGAACAGACCTCGGCCAGATGATCCGCTGCCTCGCAGACGTTTTCTGTTCCCTTTTAATCTATAATACATTTTGTCAGTTGCTGTTTGAGCCGACGCCGGCCGACAGCCGCAGGAACAGTGTTGCCTTCAGTTCTTTCTCAATTATTAATCTGCACCAACACAATCATCAGTTTTTTTGTGGGGGGGGAAGAAAAAGAAACCATTTGGATTTGTTTTACTTTCTCAGCCCAACACCAACAAACAAACACACACACACACACACACACACCCCTAATGAGGAAGTGTAGACAGGAGCTCGGACAGTCTTTGTGGTGCTTGAGACTTTTCCTGACTCTAACACATCGTCTCTTCCTCGCCTGTTTTCTTCCTCCCTCCTGGTTTGTTCTTTCCCCTCCACCCCCCCCACCCCCCCTCCACCCTCTCCACTTCCACAGTTGTTGCTGGATAACAGAGCGAATGTCGAGGGCGCCCTGCAGGATGGGGCTGAGAACTACACGGAGACGCCGCTTCAGCTCGCCGCCGCCGCAGGTGGATTCATCTACTCGTTCATATTTGATCAGAGTGTTATTTCTGACGATGTTTGAGCATCTCGTTGATTTATCGCTGTGAATGTCCGACCTTCAGGCCTGCAGTAAATTTTTAGTTTTGTAATTCAGTTATAAGATATAAAGTTTGGATTGACCGCAATCATCAGGTGGCACAAGCTAGAGAGGAAATACTGTCACACTGCTTTCTATTTAGAGAATTTTAATCCACAAGACCTATGAGGATTTTCTTTTTTGTAAAACTAGTATAAACCAGTATTTATACCTTATAAATAAATGATATTGTCATTAGCAGAACCAAATATTTATTGTTCATTTAAACTAAAATGTACGAAGGGAGACTAAAATGTTTATGAGTTACTTGACTTGAATTATTATTTGTCCTTTGACCTTTAAGGTTTTTCTATTTACTAACTTTTATAAATCAAATTAAAGACAAACAGTAAAAATCAGTATTTCCTTTTTGCTTTTTTAATGTTGTAGTAAAGTCATTTATCAGAGTTTTGTATTGTATGTAACGTCTCCTACAGAACAACTTGTTATTCAAGCATCACTTGCAGTAAAAACAGAGTAAATCTCTCCTCCAGAGTTTCATTTGTGTGTTTTTCTCTTCAGGTAACTTTGAGTTGGTGAGTTTGCTTTTGGAAAGAGGGGCAGACCCCATGATTGGGACCATGTGTCGAAACGGCATCTCGTCTGCTCCACTGGGCGACATGAACTCCTACAGCCTGGCAGCAGCACACGGCCACAGGTAACACACACACACACACACACACACACAGATATATCTATTACCACTGTATTGATCCATTTACACTCTCGCCGCTGCATAAGCCTCCCACAAAATCCTGCAGCACAAGTGAAGCAGATATCTCAGTTCTCTGTCGGACCGCAGGCAGCGATAAGAGCCGCAGTCTGTCCAGCGTCACTGACGGCTCCGCTCTGACATCATTTCCCTGCAGCTGAGTGAGATAAAGCTCATTAACATTCAGGGCAGTGAGAGCTGCGTGGATGTGGAGACACAATGCAGCGTTAATAAGACAATCAATTACAGCACGATGAGGGTGATGCTGCAGAGTGCCGGGAGCTGGTTCAAACTGAAATATGGTCATTTCACTCAAGTTCTGTACATTTTGTTTTCTTTTTAGTTATTTAAAATCAAGTTTATGATTAAATGATGAAATGTCATTTCTTTGTCATAAGGACTCGATAACAACATCTTAAAAATCGCTGGACCCTATTTTAAAAATATATATATCGACTGATATTTTAGTATCTGAAAAATCCTCCAGATATTATGTACATGCAGGATTTCAAAAGGTCTTCACTTGTCCAAAGTTGTAGGTTTTCATTTTTATGTTTTCTGTAAAGTACGAATCATTTTAAAACCATTTTTAAAAATATATTTTTCTTCAAACAACAGACTCTTTACTTCATATTTATCACATATAACTCGTGTCGTGGTTTTTGGATTCCAGGACACATTTAGCCCAAGTTTATGTGAAGGAGAAGAATTTAGTTATAAGGATTTTTCAAACTTTTCTAAACTTGTTCTTCTTACATGTTGTATCTTTTTCGCTCGTAAACAATTCACCAAAACCTCCTGGAATAACTCTGGTCATGTTCAGAGGTAGAACATGTGCACAGACTCCAGGATGTTGTGATGTTTAACGAATGTTGTTGTGCAGTATTTTTACCCCGCACTACTTTCTGCAGACAGAATCAGTTTGTCTGTATTACGACTCCGCAGAGCTGTGACACAGGTTCAGAGTTTGCGGTTGTGCTTCATTAAGTGCATGAGGATATTGTGAGCGTCATCAGAGCTCAGTGGGCTTAATGTGGAGTTAACGCAGTATGTGTAGGTCTAATTTTCTGCTCTGTGATCGTCCACCTCTCAGCTTTTCTTCCTGCTTCTCACCTCAGGCTCATTCTGTGTGTTTTTCAGTTTCTCCCCACAGATTGAGATTCCTTCCCCTCAGCTAAAAACAATCCGTCATTCGATCTCATCTCTCCGCTCTCCTCAAAATCTCCGTCAGCGTCTTTATCTTTTCCCGTCTTCCCTTGCTTCCAGGAACGTCTTTCGAAAGCTGCTGTCCCAGTCGGAGAAGGACAAGGGGGACGTTCTGTCCCTGGAGGAGATCCTGGCCGAGGGCTCGGACCCCGGGGAGAAGAGGTTGGCTCTGCAGGCCAACAGCGGCAGCGGGACCCTGCGAACAGGAAAGGCCAAACTGAGAGCCCTGAGAGAGGCCATGTACCATAGTGCAGAGCACGGCCATGTGGACATCACCATAGACATCCGCAGCTTAGGTCAGATTTACTAATGCATGCTTCACTGGCACACATGCGCTCTGGTGCCTCCAGCTGTCCTGGAGATGATGCTCATGCTGTGCCTGTCCTGTCCTTGTCCCTGTCCCTGTCCCTGTCCTGTCCTGTCCTTGTCCTGTCCTGTCCTGTCCTGTCCTGTCCACACCCTTAGCAACCAACACCACTCATCCAACCATGAAACCGCCTCAGAAACAGGACTTTTTATATCCGAGGCGATTAATAGCTCGAGCCAAAGGCGTGAGCTTGATGTTGAGACGTGTCCTGAAGCTCATCTTGTAGATGTCGCCGTCATCGGCTCTCACCCCGACATTTTCCAGCTCATTGTGCACGAGACCTGTTGTGGCTGTTGATTTGGGACAATCTCATAACGAGGTCACGTCGGTCGCTGTTCTGGCGACAAAAATGAAAAGTGACAAACTGTGTTTTTACCTTTTGTACTTAGCTGAAGAAACTTCTCACCGCAGAACTCCAGATCAGTCACTTCACTTGTGGTGAGACTGTTTGTATCAACCACCGCCTCCAAGGTCGAGAGTCGCCCTTTTAATCTCCACTGTCAGATTTTAAAATGTCTGAAAATAGTGACAAATGAGCATCGAACTGTCGCGGGGGCCGAGGTGACGTCTTTAATTTGCTTATTTTGTCCGAGCGACACTTTGAAACGCGAAGGTGTAAAAAATTTACGACGACAGAAACCATAAAAATCCTCACACGGGCCAATGTTTGCTTGATGGATGATTTCAGACGAAGTTTCCACTCAGTTAATGATGGAGTATTTTCAGAGGTGCTGTTGATGCAGAGCTTTCACTGTCATGTCATGATTTACGATTATTTCCTGCTCGCATCACAACATTAAAGTCATTTGTTTTCAGAGGACATCTTTTAATTGAAATGCTGGTTTTACTTTTCCACCGATCTGAACAGTCACCGAGGAAACTGCCCCTTAACTCGCACTAACACCATGAAGTGATGGAAACATGGTCGACTCTCTCTCCCTCCCTGAACCTCCTCAGCCTCTCGTTGCTGTGCTCAAAGTGTCATATTTACCGTGTGTGTGGTCGTGTTCCCAGGCGTTCCCTGGACGCTGCACACCTGGCTCGAGTCCCTGCGTACCTGCTTCGTCCAGCACCGCCGGCCGCTCATCCAGGGCCTGCTCAAAGACTTCAGCTGCATCCAGGAGGACGAGTACACGGAGGAGCTGATCACGCACGGCCTGCCGCTCATGTTCCAGATCCTCCGCACCAGCAAGGTCACCGGGGCTTTCTGTCACGTGCACGTAAACAAAACGCTTGTTAGAGAAACATTAGACAAAGTGTGGCTGGTTCTCTGGGAATTCAAACTGTCCTGGGACATTAACTCATATTTGCATATATTTAGCTGCAAAAAAACACATTATCATACATTTGCATCTTGTCCTAAATAACTCAGGGAAAACAGAGGCTGGGAAACTACAATGTAAAGTTTGTGTGTGTTGCAGAACGAGGTGATAAGCCAGCAGCTGTCAGTTATTTTCACCCAGTGTTACGGGCCCTTCCCCATCCCCAAGCTGACGGAGATCAAGAGGAAACAGACCTCGCGCTTAGGTAAGAGAGCGAGTTAAAAATAGTTTCTGTTCCTCTGCGTGTTTCTGTGACTTGTGCATTAAATGCAGCTGAGTGACAGCAGCGTGAAGAGGAACGCCAGGGGGACACACTTTATTTTGTAGGGGACTGGATTCGTCTCTAACTTTAGGTTAGAGATCACATGTCAATCAAACTCTGCTTAATACTTGGAAACAACTTGTTTTTTTTTTTTTACTGAGCCTTTCAGTGGGAGTTTGTTTTTCTATAAACTGTCTGTAGGTTGAGTCACTTTTGGAATAAATCGTTCGGTGCTGTAGATCTGAGTGGAAACAGAAAGTGACCTTCCACCACAAAGTGATTTCTGACTTTTTTGCCACCTTTAATATATCTGAGCTGGTTATCTGGTTATCTGGTCACATTATTATCATTATTATCAAACACATTATTTTATCAACGTGTTTATTAAACAAAATCAAACTTTCAGATACAGAAACGACTCATCACTTCCTGTTTGGATTCACAAAGATCCCAGATCTCAAACACGGTTAATTATCTCCACTCCAGAGATGGTTTTCTTCTTCTTCATTAGTTTGTTTGTCTGTTTGTTGTCAGCATTGTGCAAAAATAACTGGATGGATCCCCCCCCCCCCCCCCCCAAAAAAAATGTGGTATGGGTCAGAGAAGCGCTCATTAAACAGATCCAGGAATATTTCATGTCTTCATGTCAGAGGACAGAAATGTTCCCTCTCACAGTTTGCAGAATTTCTCTGTGCATGGTTCATGTGTCTGACCACAACATGCAGTGTGGACCAGTCAACCTTAGACAGAAGATAACGTACATGTTCTCATGCAGAGTCCATGTTAAATTACATTCATGTTTCATTCTGTGGGGTCATATCATTCATTTCAGTTCTCTACCGTGGATCAAAAGTCCGGTTTGTGGCGGAGGGAAGAGTTTACCACTTCAATAATTAGAAGCTTGTTGAGGTTTTCACAGAAAGAAAAAAAAACAATTCACATCATTGTTTTCTACATAAAGTAAAAGCCATTAAACAAATGAACACTGAATTTATGGTCTTTGTATCACGGGCCACTAATGATGTGATTTATCTGTGTAACCATGGTGATAAAAGCTTATTTAAAATTGAGAAGATCATAAACTATTTTTATTTTACCATTTTCTTTTCTTCAGATGTCTCTTTAGCTCGGTGACAGAGCTGCAGCTCCACCTAGTGTTCAATTAATCAAACGACTATAATAAAATGGCAAATTTTGACGTCTCATTAATTTATCTGTATTTATCAAGAAACATCCTGAAGCAGCAGAAACACGATTCTGACAGAGCGGCGCTAAAAGCTCTGTGATGAATGAAACACCACGATGTCCGTTGTTCAGTGGACTTGAATCATGATGCATCATCGGTTTCTCTTGGATCTTATTGTCATTGGATTTATTTTTATTTCTCAGACCCTCTCTTCTTAAACAACAAGGACATCTCTGACGTCACGTTCCTGGTGGAGGGGAAACCGTTTTATGCACATAAGGTTTTGCTGTTCACAGCTTCACCCAGGTAAAAGGAACCATTTTGCCTTTGTTTAAAATATTTTACTGTTTTTTTTTTTTCTGTATTTTTTCCTTAAACACATGATGTTGAAATAAACAAAGAGCTTTGACGAATCCTCGATTTCCTCCGTTTCCTCCAGGTTCAAGTCGCTGCTTCAAAACCGGCCAGCAGCAGAGAACACCTGTATTGAGATCAGTCACGTCAAGTACAATATATTTCACGTAAGACGTTTATCACCTTGATGCTAAAGTTAAAACCAGCCTGATATTGATATTCAGCTCTGGAATCAGTGTTTACATATGAGAAACTTATTTATTGTGAATTTAACAATGTGCAATGCGTTTTTTATCTTTTATCAATACAAGTGAAGACGGGTTTAAAATGTTTCATTTCACATTTTGATCTATTTCAACGTCTATTTTATTCAGAAAATCGAAAACATCAGTAAAAGTGATTCATAAGTAAACTCACTTTATTAATGCAGGGAAATATAAATTAGAAATAGACAAGAATTTATAAGGAAAAAAAGCTTTAATGGGATAAAAAGGCACAGGAGTAAAGTTACAATTAGAAACCGAGTGTAGCCTGATGTGTTGTGTTTCAGTTGGTGATGCAGTATCTGTACTGTGGAGGCACTGAGTCTTTGCACATACGCAACACTGAAGTCATGGAGGTGAGTCAGACCGGAGCCAGCGTTAACATTTCTAATCGCCCGCTGCGGAGCCTCATTCTGTGCCGATGTTCTGTTCCCTGCAGCTCCTCTCTGCAGCCAAGTTCTTCCAACTAGAGGCCCTTCAGAGACACTGTGAGATCATCTGCTCCAAGAACATCACCACGGAAACCTGCGTGGACCTCTACAAACACGCCAAGGTGGGGAATCCTCTGTCGGAACTCATGACGGAATGTCGTGTTGTGGAATGTCAGTGTGACAGAGACCAGACCAGAGCTACAGATAAAGTCCACACAGGGATTTAATTCAACAGATGGACAGACGCCACAATAACAAAGGTTTTTATGCAAAGCAATAATTAGAACTCTCTTGTTTTTTTATCGTAGTTCCTCGGTGCCTCTGAGCTTACGGCTTTCATCGAGGGCTATTTCCTGAAGAACATGGTGCTGCTGATCGAGCTCGACGCCTTCAAGCAGCTTCTGTACGAACCCCCTCCGGCCGAGAGCCCCGCGTCCAGCCCCGGCATCTGCTCCGACATCCTCCTCGACCTGGAGAAGACTCTGGCCACTCGCATCCACTCCATCCACCTCTCCACCTCCAAGGGCTCTGTGGTGTGACGCCGTCCCCTCCGGAGCCTTTCTGATCCGGCCGCAGCATCCATGTAACACGTCCATTAACACACAGTCGCCCCGTCCACCTGTCCTGGCCCCACTGATGATGATGAGGAGGAGGAGGAGGAGTTTTTTAAGTCAGTGATTCCCTTTAATTCTGCCTGTTGCAGCTAACTGAAGTTAGACGTGACAAAATCAGAGAGAGAACTTTCTCACTCGTCGTCCTACTGCTCCCACTGATCACTTCACAGCCCATACAGTCAGAAAAACTGAAAATAATAGCAATGCATTTAAAAAAACACACAACCCAACAGTATAACTTAGACCAAACCACGATTATACAACTTTCTATTGTATTTCAGATAGAAAACGTGCATGAAATACAGACTATTTACCTTTTCTTTTTTTCTTTTTTTTTGCTTAAAGAAAGGTAGAGTAGAATTTAAACTCAATAAAAGCAGCTTTCTCGTCATCTCTGTCACGAGACTTTGGTTTACAGGTAACATCACTTCATGGAAGTGGAAGCCGTCACAGTATGAAGTTTCACACAAGCCAAAACGTGAAAATAATCTTACTACACAACCGATAAAAGTGATTAGTAGCAATTCCAGCAGACAGATTCTTCGGTGGACGTTTCACTCTGTCTCTGCTGTGTTGGTTTCTCACTGTGTTATATATATATCGACTGTGTGCAGAGGCCAAACCAATCACACAAACTTCCACCGTCCGTGGCCGAACACCTCAGCGCTGATCCGGACGAGAGACGGCCGCGCTCAGTGAAAATCTATGCTTGACACGCGGACGTCCACCGGGGAAATGAACTTGTGATAACTCCGCGAACACTGTCGTTTTGGGTTCTTTTTGCATGACCCCTCCTCAAACTGAGCTGCCCCCCCGATGTCGCTTTTTATGCAGAGCTTACTTCAACAACCACTTTCCAAAAAGAAAGGGGGGGGAGGGGAAAAGGCTGCTTATTAAACTTTCTATCCACCGCAGAACAGACGGGACTGAGCGGGACGGACGATGGATCTTTGATTGGCGGGGAGTTTCTCTTCAAGCAAAGTGTAAATACGTCCTGAACATCATCGTGCTGGTTCTTTTGTTCTTTTTCTTTTTTTGTAAACTGATGTACAGTATTCTCCTACACTCGCTCGGCTAACGACACCGGTCTCATTGAATTGAATGTTGCTCCCTGGACAGTTTGTTCCTGCTGTGTGTCTCTGTTTATGCAAAGTTGCATGTTTAATCTGTTTCAGTACGACTCCTCTGTTTCGCTGTGCTCTGTGTGTAGACGGGTAGGACTGAGTGTGTTCCAGCTGAAGTTCAGTCACAGGATGTTCCCTTTTTACTTTAACGTTCAGGGTCGATCACGCGATGCATTTTAAAGCCACTTTTTTGCTTTTTCGACTTTTCACCTCATCTTCTCAGTAACATCAGCACTGAATTTATTAGTAGACGATGTTTTACGACAAATGTTTTTCTGACCACCTGCTTTTCTGGACGCGCCGGACACTTTTGGAAAATAAGAAACGATGCATGCAGTGCAGACGTTCCCACTGAAAGGGCAGCAGATGAAAACATCCAGTCTTCTTATTGTTTCCAACTCCTGACATCTGGATGAAACATGTATTAATTAGCATTTTCTTTTGCTTGTTTTGGGAAAATTAATTTTAAATTTGTTCTAAATTCAGATGTTAAGTTGGTTAGTGTGCAAAACATGAACTGCTGCGTAAGAAAACGTCTGTTTCTGATGAAAACGTTAAGGTATGTTCAAGCCTGGGAAACTGGAAACTTTAATAAGACTGATGAGGAAGTTTTCAACAAGAAACTCCCAACTACTGATGTTAAACTGATGTTCCGTGTTGTGTCTATTGAAGGTGGAAGCTGGAGATCTTTTTGCTTCTGAGTCAAATCCACATGAATTGCAAATTTTTTTTTATTCCCTGATTTCAACAAACAAACCTGAATGAATCTGATCCAACTGGCTTCTTCTCCATGGCAACAGCAGCCGAGGCTCGAAGCATCGAACAGATGTAACCTGATTCCTTCAGTGAGGAAACTGAAATAAAGAAACAGGCGGTCACACAGTCCCCTGAGCTAACAGGATTCTTAGAGTTTCTGAAAGAGGCACATGTTTGTTGTGAATCTAGAATGGAAGGAAAATGTTTTATTCTAAAGCTAAAGAAAAGGGAATAGATCTCAAACACCTGAACCACTTGGGGGGAAAGAGGGGGAACTTTTATTCTGGAAAATATTTATAAATGATACAAATAATGAATTGAATGATGCAAAAATACAAATGAACACAACCGGAATAACGTTTTATTACAAAAATAGCAGATTGGTGTCGGTTGAATGATTTGTTGTGAGTTGCGGTTCCTCTTTTTGTGGCTTCAGTTTAAAGTTGTTGTTCAGCATTAATTTGATTCCTGATGAAGCTCCTTGAAGAAATGTTGCATGAATTTGGAAATTCAACTTTTATTTAGTATTTCAAGTAAAACACGTCGACCTTTTCACTCGGACACGACACATCTCAACGATTTTCCATCCGGTGTAATTTAATGAATGTAACAGTGAAAAAAGCTGCTTCCCTCGGTTTCTATCGGCTCTCGATGCAAAGTGTCCTCATACGTTGTGGTGGATGTTTCCGCATTAATCTGATTTTACCTTCAGATAAAACACAAAACTTTTGATTTCAAATATTGTAGCACACTCAAAAAAAAACATTACTCAAAATATTTGTTTTGGGGCCAAAACCCAAGAGAAACACAGAGGCACATACAAGTTGGTTTAAGTTCTGT